CTTCCACACTCAATGAAGAGGTTTGCATTCACATGTTGCATTTACAAAAAATGACTTTGCCTTTGTCATTTTCTTACGTTGTTGAAAATACTTGGACCAACCCTTGTCACGTCAGGACGCAGTTGGGTCAGCAGGGGGCAGTGTGGTGCTGGAAATGTTTGGGCTTCTTCTGCTCCAGTGGCACTGAAGTGAATATGTGGAAAAGTAGAGATTCAGAAATAATATTGACATTTTAGACAAGACACACACACACTCTTGCTGATTGACAATGCTTAAAGTATTTACTCCGAGGAGCACAGGGACTGGCCTCCTGCTGGGACTCTGAGGAGCACAGGGACTGGCCTTCTGCTGGGACTCTGAGGAGCACAGGGACTGGCCTTCTGCTGGGACTCTGAGGAGCACAGGGACTGGCCTTGTGCTGGGACTCTGAGGAGCACAGGGACTGGCCTTGTGCTGGGACTCTGAGGAGCACAGGGACTGGCCTCCTGCTGGGACTCTGAGGAGCACAGGGACTGGCCTTCTGCTGGGACTCTGAGGAGCACAGGGACTGGCCTCCTGCTGGGACTCTGAGGAGCACAGGGACCGGCCTCCTGCTGGGACTCTGAGGAGCACAGGGACTGGCCTTGTGCTGGGACTCTGAGGAGCACAGGGACTGGCCTTCTGCTGGGACTCTGAGGAGCACAGGGACTGGCCTCCTGCTGGGACTCTGAGGAGCACAGGGACTGGCCTCCTGCTGGGACTCTGAGGAGCACAGGGACCGGCCTCCTGCTGGGACTCTGAGGAGCACAGGGACTGGCCTTCTGCTGGGACTCTGAGGAGCACAGGGACTGGCCTTCTGCTGGGACTCTGAGGAGCACAGGGACTGGTGGCCTTCTGCTGGGACTCTGAGGAGCACAGGGACCGGCCTTGTGCTGGGACTCTGAGGAGCACAGGGACTGAACATGGGAAGTCCGCATTTTAAGATTATAGCTCTAATCTGAATAACATCAGACAGGCTCCTGATCTGACATTTCAATCCAGGTTTAAACGAAACCTGGTTTGGACCTGGTTTGGACCTGGTTTAGACCTGCTTTAGACCTGGTTCAGACCTGGTTTAGACCTGGTTTAGACTTGGTCTAGACCTGGTTTAGACCTGCTTTAGACCTGGTTTAGACCTGGTTTAGACCTGGTTTAGACCTGGTTTAGACCTGGTTTAGACCTGGTTTAGACCTGGTTTGGACCTGCTTTAGACCTGCTTTAGACCTGCTTTAGACCTGGTTTAGACCTGGTTTGGTCCTGGTTTGGACCTGGTTTGGACCTGGTTTAGACCTGGTTTGGACCTGGTTTAGACCTGGTTTAGACCTGGTTTGGACCTGGTTTAGACCTGCTTTAGACCTGGTCTAGACCTGGTTTAGACCTGGTTTAGACCTGGTTTGGACCTGCTTTAGACCTGCTTTAGACCTGGTTTGGACCTGGTTTGGACCTGGTTTAGACCTGCTTTAGACCTGGTTTAGACATAGTAACATTCTCTGAGTTTCCTTGAGTTCAAACAGAGCGCACATTCATACTATCAGTTCTTTCCATATTTATCTCCAGCCAGTGTCATGCGCCCTGATTGGGCGGTTAAACAACCAATCAGAGATGAGTGGAGGAGCGGCGTTGGTGCCTAGAAAACCATGAATTTATCCACGTTTTGTCATGTGACATCACAAACACACAGAGAATCGGGATTTGGAAGAAAGAGGGTTTTATTATGTACAATAGTGGGGCCTGCAAAAGTTTTCAGCCCTCATGAGAGAAAGTGTCGAGTCTCTTGTTGTGTGTCTCTGTACCTATGTACCCTCTGTACCTATTTGCCCTCTGTACCTATGCGCCCTCTGTACCTATGTGCCCTCTGTACCTATGTACCCTCTGTACCTATGCGCTCTCTGTACCTATGTGCCCTCTGTACCTATGCGCCCTCTGTACCTATGTGCCCTCTGTACCTATGTACCCTCTGTACCTATTTGCTCACCTCAAACTACACACTCACCTCAAACTACACACTCACCCCAAACTACACACTCACCCCAAACTACACACTCACCTCAAACTACACACTCACCCAAACTACACACTCACCCCAAACTACACACTCACCCAAACGACACACTCACCTATAACTACACACTCACCCCAAACTACACACTCACCTATAACTACACACTCACCCCAAACTACACACTCACCCCAAACTACACACTCACCTCAAACTACACACTCACCTCAAACTACACACTCACCCAAACTACACACTCACCCCAAACTACACACTCACCCAAACGACACACTCACCTATAACTACACACTCACCTCAAACTACACACTCACCTCAAACTACACACTCACCAAAAACTACACACTCACCCAAAACTACACACTCACCCCAAACTACACACTCACCTCAAACTACACACTCACCCAAACTACACACTCACCCAAACTACACACTCACCCCAAACTACACACTCACCTCAAACTACACACTCACCTCAAACTACACACTCACCCCAAACTACACACTCACCCAAACTACACACTCACCCAAACTACACACTCACCCCAAACTACACACTCACCTATAACTACACACTCACCTCAAACTACACACTCACCTCAAACTACACACTCACCAAAAACTACACACTCACCCAAAACTACACACTCACCCCAAACTACACACTCACCTCAAACTACACACTCACCCAAACTACACACTCACCCAAACTACACACTCACCCCAAACTACACACTCACCTCAAACTACACACTCACCTCAAACTACACACTCACCCCAAACTACACACACTCACCCAAACTACACACTCACCCAAACTACACACTCACCCCAAACTACACACTCACCTCAAACTACACACTCACCTATAACCACACACTCACCCCAAACTACACATTCACCCCAAACTACACACTCACCCAAACTACACATTCACCCCAAACTACACACTCACCCAAACTACACACTCACCCAAACTACACACTCACCTCAAACTACACACTCACCTATAACCACACACTCTCACCCCAAACTACACACTCACCCCAAACTACACACTCACCTCAAACTACACACTCACCCCAAACTACACACTCACCTCAAACTACACACTCACCTATAACCACACACTCACCCCAAACTACACACTCACCCCAAACTACACACTCACCTCAAACTACACACTCACCCCAAACTACACATTCACCCCAAACTACACACTCACCCCAAACTACACACTCACCTCAAACTACACACTCACCTATAACTACACATCACCAAAACTACACACTCACCCCAAACTACACACTCACCTCAAACTACACACTCACCTCAAACTACACACTCACCCCAAACTACACACTCACCCAAACTACACACTCACCTCAAACTACACACTCACCCCAAACTACACACTCACCCCAAACTACACACTCACCTCAAACTACACACTCACCCCAAACTACACACTCACCTCAAACTACACACTCACCCCAAACTACACACTCACCCCAAACTACACACTCACCCCAAACTACACACTCACCTCAAACTACACACTCACCCAAACTACACACTCACCCAAACTACACACTCACCCCAAACTACACACTCACCTCAAACTACACACTCACCCAAACTACACACTCACCCAAACTACACACTCACCCCAAACTACACACCTCAAACTACACACTCACCTATAACCACACACTCACCCCAAACTACACACTCACCTCAAACTACACACTCACCCCAAACTACACACTCACCCCAAACTACACACTCACCTCAAACTACACACTCACCCAAACTACACACACTCACCTCAAACTACACACTCACCCCAAACTACATACTCACCTCAAACTACACACTCACCCAAACTACACACTCATCTCAAACTACACACTCACCCCAAACTACACACTCACCCAAACTACATACTCACTCACCTCAAACTACACACTCACCTCAAACTACACACTCACCCAAACTACACACTCACCCAAACTACACACTCACCCCAAACTACACACCTCAAACTACACACTCACCTATAACCACACACTCACCCCAAACTACACACTCACCTCAAACTACACACTCACCCCAAACTACACACTCACCCCAAACTACACACTCACCTCAAACTACACACTCACCCAAACTACACACTCACCTCAAACTACACACTCACCCCAAACTACATACTCACCTCAAACTACACACTCACCCAAACTACACACTCATCTCAAACTACACACTCACCCCAAACTACACACTCACCCAAACTACATACTCACCCCAAACTTCACACTCACCCAAACTACACACTCACCCCAAACTACACACTCACCCAAACTACACACTCACCTCAAACTACACACTCACCTATAACCACACACTCACCCCAAACTACACACTCACTTCAAACTACACACTCACCCCAAACTACACACTCACCCCAAACTACACACTCACCCCAAACTACACACTCACCCAAACTACACACTCACCCCAAACTTCACACTCACCCAAACTACACACTCACCCCAAACTACACACTCACCCAAACTACACACTCACCTCAAACTACACACTCACCTATAACTACACACTCACCCCAAACTACACACTCACCTATAACTACACACTCACCCCAAACTACACACTCACCCCAAACTACACACTCACCTCAAACTACACACTCACCCCAAACTACACACTCACCTCAAACTACACACTCACCCCAAACTACACACTCACCCAAACTACACACTCACCCCAAACTACACACTCACCCGGGACATTTCACTTCTAAAAGACCGAGGACAAAACCGTCAACACAGATCAAAGAATCAAACCGTTCAAACACAGGAAATGCACTTTCTCTGGAAGAATGGAGGCTGGTCCCCTGCCCTCCCCTGGTCCCCTGCTGTGACGTGTCATATTCATGCTTGGATTATTGTCTTTGGAAACATTTGGGCAGTTTTCCAGCTCGATGCAGGAAAAGCAGAGGCAACACAATGCTAGTGGGGATCTGAAAGACACACAAAGATTTATAGAGTTTACAGAGTTTCAGAGCGTCTGAGCCAGCTAGATTACTGAAGATGATGGAGACTATTCCCGACATCAGCCAGAGCCAGAGAGAGGACACGATGATGACCATGGTGAAGAAGGCCCTCTGTCTGGACCGGCTGAGGCCCTGACCGTCTCCTGGACTCGGGTTTCTTAAAGCAAACAAGACTTGGACGCAGCAAAAGCTAATGACAATAGTGACAAAGGACACTAGAATCCACAACGGGATTGTATGGTCTGTAACTGGTATGACAAAAAATAAGCCGAGATACAACCAGCAGACTCCCCAGATTCCCAAAACGATGCAGTTTCGGACCCAGATGCCGCGGCGCTGTCTTAAAGTCAGATACAGAACGGGAAAGACCACGGCGATGTAGCGCTCGATGCAGGTGAACGTGTGCAGCAGCAGAAGTCCTGGACATAAGAAAAAGGACAGGACCACGGCAATCAAAAATATATTTGCATCATGTTGAAAGTTGGCGATAGAGATGAGGATGTGGTAGGAGCAGTTGAGCAGGTCGAAGAACAGCGAGTGGTACGTGAAGAAGTCACTGTGGCTGACGACAAAACGCTCCACACGCCGCCATCTTTGGAGAGTCGTGGAGAGGACGAGGATCCAGAGAGGGACCATGAGGAGGAGCCAGAGGCTGAGGATGGACGGGGGGGTGTACAGGCCACTGTCAGACGACATGCAGTCGATCAGCCAATAGGACGAGCCGTTAGCAGACGCCATGCTGCACAAACAAGAGAAACATTAGAGCAGAGGTCAGGACGATCAGGTCGGGGGCGGTGCCAATGGAGTGGCAGACCGGGGTTGTCCCTCTCTACAAGAAGGGGGACCGGAGGGTGTGTTCCAATTATCCCCAGTGAGGTCTACTCCAAGGTACTGGAGACTTCAAACGATGGTTGAATCTCGGATTCAGGAGGAGCAGTGTGGTTTTCGTCCCGGCTGCGGAACACTGGACCAGCTCTACACTCTCCATCGGATACTCGAGGGTTCATGGGAGTTCGCCCAACCTGTCCACATGTGCTTTGTGGATTGGGAGAAGGGGTCCGACCATGTTCCCCGGGGTTCACAGGAGTCAATATGACTGCTTAAAACAAACTTTACACAAAACTCTTACTCTTAAACCCACATATCACAACACGGAACCATCAACATCTCGCCTCAAATACGGAGAACACATCTTTACTCTTCTCTTTACTAAGATAGAATCTCTAGCTTTAGCATAATAAGGAAGCAAGTATAAATTCTATTGCAGAAATATATAGTTGTATGTTGACATCTGAGCGTGTGAGCAGCAGGAGGTTCTGGGACACAGGGTCTAATCGGCAGAATCCGACCATCTCCTTATTTCATATAATCCCAAAGAATGATGGGATTAGTGACGTCCAAAACAACATTCATATTTGACCCAATAATGTCAAACTATTCTGTTATAAAAATACATATCTGTAAAAATATAGTACTGACCTTTCCTTCTTGGACTTCATGGACCATCTGCAGAGACTGGTTCTGACCAAAGCGTGACACTGACATTTGCCTAAAAGCAAAGCATTTCTCACGTTCATAAATGGTGTCACACACTCTTCAGCCAGAACCACAACTGGAAATATTCAAAAACCAGAGCAAACAAAACGCAAAACCTTTTTTCTTCTGCTGTAATGTTGTGCGACGATGACATTACATTTGTCCTCACTTTGGAACAAATAAAAGATTATCTTAACTTTAAAATATTTGTTTCAGAATAATGACAAATTAAAGCTGTGGCCAAAAGAGTTCACAAAATATTTTATGACACGTACAGATGAAAACATACAACTATATATTTGATGCACTAAAATATACAGGATTTCACACTTGTTTTTGTGCGTGTGTGTGTGTGTGTGCGTGTGTACATGTGTGTGTGTGTGTGTGTGTGTGTGTGTGCGTTTACGTGTGTATGTGTATGTGGGTTTGTGCATGTTTGTGTGCGTGTGTGTATGTGTGTGTGCATAGGTTTGTGTGTGGTTTTGTGTGCGTCCCTGTGTGTGTGTGTGTTTGTGTGTTTGTACATGTTTTTGTGGGTGTATGTGTATGTGTGTGTCTGTCTGTCTGTCTGTGTGTGTAGATAGAGAGATAGATACTTTATTGATCCCTGTAGGAGAAATGCAGGTTTCCAGTAGCAGCAAAAATAAAAAATAAAATTGATCATTCTAAAAATATAACAATGTAATAATCAGCAAGAGTCTCAGGTCACAGCAGCAGAGGTGGAGTAACCTCTGGGTGGAGCAGGACGGGTCACAGCAGCAGAGGTGGAGTAGTCTCTGGGTGGAGCAGGACGGGTCACAGCAGCAGAGGTGGAGTAGTCTCTGGGTGGAGCAGGACGGGTCACAGCAGCAGAGGTGGAGTAGTCTCTGGGTGGAGCAGGACGGGTCACAGCAGCAGAGGTGGAGTAGTCTCTGGGTGGAGCAGGACGGGTCACAGCAGCAGAGGTGGAGTAGCCTCTGGGTGGAGCAGGACGGTTCACAGCAGCAGAGGTGGAGTAGCCTCTGGGTGGAGCAGGACGGTTCACAGCAGCAGAGGTGGAGTAGTCTCTGGGTGGAGCAGGACAGGTCACAGCAGCAGAGGTGGAGTAGCCTCTGGGTGGAGCAGGACGGGTCACAGCAGCAGAGGTGGAGTAGCCTCTGGGTGGAGCAGGACGGGTCACAGCAGCAGAGGTGGAGTAGTCTCTGGGTGGAGCAGGACGGGTCACAGCAGCAGAGGTGGAGTAGTCTCTGGGTGGAGCAGGACGGGTCACAGCAGCAGAGGTGGAGTAGTCTCTGGGTGGAGCAGGACGGGTCACAGCAGCAGAGGTGGAGTAGCCTCTGGGTGGAGCAGGACGGTTCACAGCAGCAGAGGTGGAGTAGCCTCTGGGTGGAGCAGGACGGTTCACAGCAGCAGAGGTGGAGTAGTCTCTGGGTGGAGCAGGACAGGTCACAGCAGCAGAGGTGGAGTAGCCTCTGGGTGGAGCAGGACGGGTCACAGCAGCAGAGGTGGAGTAGCCTCTGGGTGGAGCAGGACGGGTCACAGCAGCAGAGGTGGAGTAGCCTCTGGGTGGAGCAGGACGTGTCACAGCAGCAGAGGTGGAGTAGCCTCTGGGTGGAGCAGGACGGGTCACAGCAGCAGAGGTGGAGTAGCCTCTGGGTGGAGCAGGACGGGTCACAGCAGCAGAGGTGGAGTAGCCTCTGGGTGGAGCAGGACGGTTCACAGCAGCAGAGGTGGAGTAACCTCTGGGTGGAGCAGGACGGGTCACAGCAGCAGAGGTGGAGTAGTCACTGGGTGGAGCAGGACGGGTTACAGCAGCAGAGGTGGAGTAGTCTCTGGGTGGAGCAGGACAGGTCACAGCAGCAGAGATGGAGTAGTCTCTGGGTGGAGCAGGACGGGTCACAGCAGCAGAGGTGGAGTAGCCTCTGGGTGGAGCAGGACGGGTCACAGCAGCAGAGGTGGAGTAGCCTCTGGGTGGAGCAGGACGGTTCACAGCAGCAGAGGTGGAGTAGCCTCTGGGTGGAGCAGGACGGGTCACAGCAGCAGAGGTGGAGTAGTCTCTGGGTGGAGCAGGACGGGTCACAGCAGCAGAGGTGGAGTAGCCTCTTGGTTCAGACCATTTTCTCTGCTCTGGTCCAAAGAAAAAGCTAAATGCTTCATTAGCATTTTTCACAAAGTTAGCATTCCTCCAGTGGATTTTCACCTGATCCACTTGGTTAGGACCATGAATCCTCTCTGCTCTGGTCTGGACCAGTGTAAAACCATGAATCCTCTCTGCTCTGGTCTGGACCAGTGTAAAACCATGAATCCTCTCTGCTCTGGTCTGGACCAGTGTAAAACCATGAATCCTCTCTGCTCTGGTCTGGACCAGTGTAAAACCATGAATCCTCTCTGCTCTGGTCTGGACCAGTGTAAAACCATGAACATTGAACTGCAGGAACATCTCAGGCAGAAAAAAGCAGGAAAAATAAAATGTGTTAAACAAAAACAACAGTTTCAGAGACACTTTGGACTCGCTGCTGTTTCCAGAACATTCTAAAGTAAACCATCATGTGTGTGTGTGTGTGTGTGTTTATGTGTGTGTGTGTGCTTATGTGTGTGTGTGTGTGTGTGTGTGCTTATGTGTGTGTGTGTGTGTGTGTATGTATGTGTGTGTGCACTTGTTTTCAACTCCTGGTGGGTTCCATAACCTGAGATTCCACTCACGTCATGGGGACTGGTTTTACGTGGTGGGGCCCGAACACCGGACCCCACTGGTCCAAGCTTAATAATCAATGGGTAATGCTTTTCTAACGGTCCTTATGCAGTCTCTGTAAAAATATGGAAAGGACCCCTGGAGGTTTACTTTCCTGAAAAAAGTGTGTTATGTGTCGGAACCCTGGTGGTGGGTTGCGGGATATCAAGGAGGGGCACACTGGGGCAATTTCAGTCCAGCAGGCTGGAGCCAATCATGGAGCAGCACAACAGAGGAAATCAGGTGTCAGGCTAGAAAAAGGTGCAAGTGTGTGGTTCATTAGGCTGCAAGAAATCATGGAGGAGCACACTGAAGCGCACGCTTACAAACCACTGGTAAGTGCTGACTACAAGTCATGACTTCAAATTGTTATATAGAATGATTACAAATTATTTGTTGTTTGTGCAGCTTAGTCAAGAGTCCCTAATTGATGAAGTCGACTCAGATTCTGACGATTTAACTGTCAAGAAGAAACCTGTAAAAAAGTATGGAAAAAGAAAAATCAAAAACACTTTTCTTCAAGACTCGGAAAGTGACGAACCAAAGGCAAATAAGATTGTTATCATGCAGCTGCAAAAGAAGAAAAATGGGGGGCGAGTATACAGCAAGAGACACTTCTGCCTCTACTGTTCAATGTCCTGCCACAAAATGTCCCGTCATTTGACTAGAAAACATGGAAATGAAAGTGACGTAGCCAGAGCATTGGCTCTACCTGTGAAATCTAAAGCACGTAAACTTCAGTTTGATTTGATCAGGAATAGTGGAAACCGTGAGCACAATTTTGAGGTTTTAAAGGCCGGCATTGGAACTTTAGTCCCAGCTAAACAGCCAAATTCCCCAGTTAAATCCAGTGAGTTTTTGCACTGTATAGACTGTGGGGCATTGCTTAAGCGAAAGTCGCTGTGGAGGCATGTGGCCAGGTGCCGGCTTTCACAGAAAGATGCCCAGGCTAAACCAGGTAGAAGTAGGGTCCAGTCCCTCTGCTCCCTAGCCCAGCCTGTACCGGAGGGCATCAGCAAAAAGCTGTGGTCTTTAATTTCGGCAATGCATCAGGATGAGGTCACGGGTGTTGTCAAAGCAGAAAAGGGGATTCTGAGACTCGGAGAGCACCTGTACTTAAAACACGGGCATGATAAGACTAAGCATGATTACATTAGGCAGAAAATGAGAGAAGTCGGTAGGTTAATTAACGAAGCAAAAACCGCAGGGAAACTGAAAACAATTAAGGATTTCTTTATTCCTTCCAACTTTAACCATGTGATTGATGCAGTCAGGTCTGTGGCTGGATATGATGAGGAAACAAATCAATACAAGACTCCATCCTTGGCCCTCAAACTCGGCCATAGCCTCAGAAAGCTAGCAGATATTCTTGAATGTGACTCAAAAATGGAGCATTGTGTTGATGAACTATTTATTAAAAACCTCCAACAAAGCCGGCTGCTTTTTGAGAAGAGGTGGGACGTCTGTGTTTCTTCTGCTGCCCTACAGACCCTCCGGCAAGCCAAGTGGAACACTCCGGACCTGCTCCCTCTGACTGAGGACGTTAGAGCCATGCATGCACATATTGAGGTATGTCGACCTGAATATGTGCAAACCCTAATAAGTGAGCCAACGTCTAAGCATTGGTCTAAACTGGCAGTTTTGACTCTTTGTGAGGTCATCATTTTCAATCGAAGAAGGGAAGGTGAGGTTTCAAAGATGCCACTGACAGCCTTTACCTTAAGAAGTAAGACTGGGATCCATTCTGACATTGCTCTGGGACTGTCCCAACTTGAGAAAAAGCTGTGTCAGCATTTTCAACGCATTGAAATTAAAGGGAAAAGAAGTCGGAAAGTGCCGGTTCTTTTGACTCCTGAAATGATTGCTTCGATGGAGGTGCTGGTGGAGAACAGAAGGGCCTGTTCCATCTCTGACCATAACCCATACTTCTTTTCCCGCCCGGGGCGCAGACACCCACATCAGGGGATCAGACTCCCTACGCCAGGTAGCCAAAGAATGTGGTGCGGTGCATCCAGAGATGCTATCCTCAACCAAACTTAGAAAGCACATAGCTACTATGTCTACAGTTCTCAATATGAAAGAGAATGAGATGGACATACTTGCCAACTTCCTCGGCCATGACATTCGCATCCACAGGCAATATTACAGACTACCAGAGGGGACACTGGAGCTGGCCAAAATCAGCAAAGTGTTGATGGCCATGGAGCAGGGAAGAGTGACGGAATTCGAAGGAAAGAGCCTCGACCAGATACAAATTGAGCCTGAAGGTAATTCTTGATATTATTAAAATATGTATGATTTTTTTCCCCTAAAGGCCACTTGTATTTTTATTTTCTGTGCGACAGGGAGAGCAGTAGAGATCCTCTCACAAACGGACGGGCTAAAAGAAACTTCAAGCGGAGAACCTTCAACCATTCATCCAGATGCACCCCATGGTAGTGGCAGTGCCCCTTCTGGTAAGTGTACCAGGTGGGGGATTACAGCCAGGCTGCTTGGTCCTCACCCTGGGAGTGTATATTGCTAATATATTTTTATTTCTCTCCCTAGAACGTGTAAGAAAGCCATGGTCTGCATCTGAGGTGAAGGCTGTGGAGAAGACCATGACACCTTTCATACAGACTGGAAAGGTCCCTGGGAAGTCTCACTGCCTGGCCTGCATTAATGCCTCACCAGATGACCTTAGACATCGGACATGGAGTGGCATTAAATTCTATGTCAAAAATAGAATCACTGCAATTCGAAAACAAAATCTAAAATAAAATTCCTTTAAAATAGTTGTTTGGTTTCTATTGACTGTTTTGTATTACTTAAAGTCTTGGTAAAAAAAGATTATGTCTATGGGTCCCATTCTGAACGGCCCTGTCAAAGGGACCCACCAGGTAACAAAAACGTGTATGTGTGTGTGTATGTGTATGTGTATGTGTATGTGTATGTGTATGTGTGTGTATGTGTATGTGTATGTGTATGTGTATGTGTATGTGTATGTGTATGTGTGTGTGTGTGTGTGTGTGCGTATATATGTGTGTGTGTGTGTGTGTGTGTGTGTGTGTGACCTGGACCTTGTGCTGTCAGAGCAGGATTGAGGGCGGTGTTTTTGAGAAGCATCTTTCAAAGGTCGATGACGAAGTTTCTGGTCAAGACTGGACTTCACTTGATCCTGTTTCAGGACGACAAGAGACACTAGCATCCTGACCTTTATGTAAGCTGTTCTCTGTCAGGTTCTCTGTAGGTTCTCTGTAGGTTCTCTGTCAGGTTCTCTGTCAAGTTCTCTGTAGGTTCTCTGTCAGGTTCTCTGTCAAGTTCTCTGTCAGGTTCTCTGTAGGTTCTCTGTAGGTTCTCTGTAGGTTCTCTGTAGGTTCTCTGTCAGGTTCTCTGTAGGTTCTCTGTAGGTTCTCTGTAGGTTCTCTGTCAGGTTCTCTGTAGGTTCTCTGTCAGGTTCTCTGTCAGGTTCTCTGTCAAGTTCTCTGTCAGGTTCTCTGTAGGTTCTCTGTCAGGTTCTCTGTCAAGTTCTCTGTCAGGTTCTCTGTAGGTTCTCTGTAGGTTCTCTGTAGGTTCTCTGTCAGGTTCTCTGTAGGTTCTCTGTCAGGTTCTCTGTCAGGTTCTCTGTCAGGTTCTCTGTCAGGTTCTCTGTCAGGTTCTCTGTCAAGTTCTCTGTCAGGTTCTCTGTAGGTTCTCTGTCAAGTTCTCTGTCAGGTTCTCTGTAGGTTCTCTGTAGGTTCTCTGTAGGTTCTCTGTCAGGTTCTCTGTAGGTTCTCTGTAGGTTCTCTGTAGGTTCTCTGTCAGGTTCTCTGTCAGGTTCTCTGTCAGGTTCTCTGTCAGGTTCTCTGTCAGGTTCTCTGTCAGGTTCTCTGTCAGGTTTTCTGTCAGGTTCTCTGTCAGGTTCTCTGTCAGGTTCTCTGTCAGGTTCTCTGTCAGGTTTTCTGTCAGGTTCTCTGTCAGGTTCTCTGTCAGGTTCTCTGTCAGCTGAGGTTGAGCTGTTTTAGTTTACATTGAGTTCTATGGACATTTTTCTGGGTAACATGAATTTCGTCTGCAGTGCCACAGCGCCCCCTGTGTCCATAGATAGTAATACTCTATCCTGTCCTTTGCTCATTAGTCTTTTACCAACACCTTCCACCTGTTCTCCAAAGACGGTGCGTACTGTGTGTTTTCATCCAGGAAGAAGGAGGCACATAGGAGGCTGAGAGGAGGCACATGGAGCAGGGAGGAGGCCACAGCGCTCCATCTGCTCCCTCTGCAGGAGGTCTGTGAACAGGACAAATATGAGGCTCTTCAGGACTGAACATAAAGAACCAACAGCACAGTCTACAATAGAAACAACATTTATTATTATTATTATTATTATTATTATTCATTTTTACTTTATTAAGGACACAATTCATCGATCCATAGATAAAATAAAATATCCCTTACACACACTATATTGAAAAATAAATAACTACACTTTTAGATGGATCACTTCTATTTATTGTATTTCTGTAAAAGGATTTTTTGCAGGATGTGTTTATCTTTTAAACAGAATAATCTAAATGACTAAATAACTCCTGATCCTTGAGTGAGTTTCGATAATCCCAAACCACACACAGATTTTCTTGTTTTCTCTTATTATCACATTTTCCTGTGAATAATTTTGTGTACCTCGTGCATGTTTGAAATAAAACATAGAATAAAATAATATTATAATAATAGTACCAGTGACCTGAACATGCAACTTTACAATCTACAACTTTATAAACTATAACTTTACAATCGACAACTTTACAATCGACAACTTTACAATCTACAACTTTACAATCTACAACTTTACAATCTACAACTTTACAATCTACAACTTTACAATCTACAACTTTACAAACTATAACTTTACAATCAAGACACACCTTTTTAGATTAGCTTTTGATTAGAATTTATTATTCCATTTCATATATTCTATTTTTCTTTTAGACACATTTTATTTTAGCTTTATTATTTATTATTGTGTGATGGTTCCTTTTAGTGTCACATTTTAGTGTTTTTCTTTTTTATTGTATTGTTTTAAGTATCCCCAGTGTGTCCTCTAGAGGAGCCCTCTGCACTGGAAGCTGAGGTCGGTGTGGCTGCGGGGGTCCGGCTCTTGGACCTGGTGGGGGCCTGGAGCCTCGGCTTCGTGTCTCCTCTGGGTCCTGGGGTCTGGCTCTTGAGCCTGGTGGGGGCCTGGAGCCTCGGCTTCGTGTCTCCTCTGGGTCCTGGGGTCTGGCTCTTGGACCTGGTGGGGGCCTGGAGCCTCGGCTTCGTGTCTCCTCTGGGTCCTGGGGTCTGGCTCTTGGGCCTGGTGGGGGCCTGGAGCCTCGGCTTCGTGTCTCCTCTGGGTCCTGGGGTCTGGCTCTTGGATCTGGTGGGGGCCTGGAGCCTCGGCTTCGTGTCTCCTCTGGGTCCTGGGGTCTGGCTCTTGGACCTGGTGGGGGCCTGGAGCCTCGGCTTCGTGTCTCCTCTGGGTCCTGTGTCGTCTCCTGTGGCTACAGGCGGCTCTCTGCTCCTGGTGCAGACGGCTCCTTGGATGACGCTTTTTCAGCTGGTTACATCTGAACCCTGCCAAGTCTATCTTCATGGTTTTACTGTTTTACTGGTGCGTGTGTGTGTGTGTGTGTGTGTGTGTGTGTGTGTGTGTGTGTGTGTGTGTGTGTGTGAAAGTGTGCATGAGAGCGGGTGTGAGTGTGTGTGTGTGAAAGTGTGCATGAGAGCGTGTGTGAATGTGTGAGTGTGTGTGAAAGTGTGCATGAGAGCGTGTGTGAGTGTGTGAGTGTGTGTGTGTGAGAGTGTGCATGAGAGCGGGTGTGAGTGTGTGTGTGTGTGTGAAAGTGTGCATGAGAGCGTGTGTGAGTGTGTGTGTGTGTGAGAGTGTGCATGAGAGCGTGTGTGAGTGTGTGAGTGTGTGTGTGTTTGTCTGCATATGTGGGGTGGGTCTGTCGGGTGGTCGGGGGGAGGGTTCATGGACCGGCGGGATTGTTTTTAACCAAACTGTAGAGCACTTTGTGTTGCATCTTTTGTATGAAAAGCACTTTATAAATAAAATTTGATTGATTGATTGAATCTACAACTTTACAAACTTCAACTTTACAAACTACAACTTTATAATCTACAACTTTACAATCTCAACAAATATGGACATTGGACACATGGACGACTGACTAAACCAACATCACATTCTGTCTGTTTGTCAGTGTGAAATCAACACTATTTAAGATTCTGTATAGCCATTGGAATAATCATTTGTTTAGAGTATTCTATATATATACTTTATTATTGTTTTATTTTATTTATTTATGATTTATCTATCTATGTATTTATTTTGCATAGAGAAAGCTTGTTAAGCTTTATATATTAAGAAAACAGTGTGAACTAATGAAGATGAGCCAAGCCATTGGTTTCGATATGTAGACGATACATGGGTTAAGTTAAAGAAACAGGAAGTGGAACCATTTTCAGAACACATTAATTCGGTGGACCCTTTTATAAATTTCACTCGCGAGGATGCTAAGGAGAGTGAACTCGCCTTTCTAGATTGTAAGGTCATCATACTGGAGAACGGACAATTAGAGACTGAGGTCTTCAGAAAGTCCACTCACACTGACCAGTACTTGGCCTTTGATTCAAATCATCCGCTACAACACAAACTCGGGGTCATTAGAACGCTTCAACACCGAGCCCACCAGGTCCCCACTAGCTCGGAGGGAAAGAACAGAGAAACCAAACATGTTCAGAGAGCACTTTCCAGATGTGGCTACCCCAAGTGGTCTTTTACTAAAGCCCAAAGGACGAGAAAGGCCAGAGACACAGTCCAACAGACAGAAGAAAGTAGGAGGAGAGGGGTGTCCTTACCGTATGTGGCGGGAGTTTCAGAGAAACTACAAAGAATCTTTAGGCAACACAAAATCCCTGTGTATTTCAAACCTTTCAACACGTTAAGACAGAAATTAGTGCATCCCAAAGACAAAACACCCAGACACAAACAGAGCAATGTGGTGTATTCAATTAAATGTAGTGAAGAGGAGTGCACTGACCACTATATTGGAGAAACCAAACAAACTCTACAGAAACGACTTTACCAACATCGTAGAGAAAACTCTAGTGGGCCACAGTCGGCTGTTCATCTCCACCTCAAGGCCTCCAACCACACGGTGGATGACACAGAGGTTAAAATTCTGGCTCGGGAGAAGAATTGGTTTGAGAGAGGAGTGAAAGAAGCCATTTTTGTGAGGAAACAAAAACCTTCTCTTAACAGAGGAGGAGGGTTAAGATTTGTTTTGCCTCGCATCTATGACGACATCCTAAAAACAACGCCCTAACTTGGGACAAGGTCAGTGACATGCTAATGAGTTAGGAGGGGTGAAACCTGCACTCCACTTGAGCATCCCAGCAGACAATAGGTCTGTGACATGCTAATGAGTTAGGGTCGTTAGCCTCAGCAGGGTCGTTAGACCTGCTCCCTTCTACATCAAGCAGACCTGAGATTGTTTACGAGTTAGTATCAGGATTAGGGTGTGGCTTACCACACCCATAGGTTATAAATCTCCAACGCGCGGCCCGAGAATTCATTCCCTGAAGAAGTCCGCTAGGTTGAGGACGAAACGTCGGGAAAACTTGCTAAGAAGTACAGATGATGGGTGAGAAACCTTCCTTTGCTAATGAAGATGACACAATAAAGTTTACAAAAAAGAGAAATAAAGAAAAAAGAAAAAACCCTTTTGTTCATACTTTTACTGTCTCTAACACTGTCATCATATTCACAAATGCAATCATTAAACCAACACACAATCAATTTGAAAAGAAAAAAGGTTGGCCCTGAAGCTCATAGCACTTTATACTCTTGCACCTCGCAGCACATTTGGACTTATATTAGCTCTTGTTTCTGCTTCATCTTCAAAGTGAATGCGATGTTGGTTTTAAAGGAGACCCCGAGTGGGACAACACAGAACAAGTCTCAACCCTTCATTTGAACAATCTCGCTCCAACTTTGCCTTATTCTTTGACAGCTTTCGTTCTTTTTTTCTGTTATCGATGTTCAGGCCGGATCTGAGGAGTGTGTTTTTGTCTGGGTCTGGCAGAGATGACGCCCAGTGGGAGTCATTTATTTCTCTGAGTATGTTTCAGAACTGGTCTGAGGTGGAAGACAGCAGCAGCCAATGGGGACGCAGTAAATCCTGAGATGAGTGGATCTCAGACTCCAGGCCTCTCTCTCTCTCTCTCACTGCTGCTCTGTTTTAGACCCGAATCCTCTGAACTGTATTAAACAACAAATATGATGCAATAATAACGGCTTATTAAACAAACTCAAGGTCTGTACAGAAAAATATCAGACCGCGGCCTTTTTGTACAGACCGAGCCGTGTACGATCCAAGTCATATAATAATTCAGTTTGTTATATGACTTCGCGCGCTCTGATTGGCTGATTTGCGGTCTGATATTTTCCCATCACGGACCGTTACCATGACAATCGGTCCGCAGCGTGTATCAGATTTGATGTCTTTCCTCGGTAAAAAGAATTAATGAGCGACGACTGGGAGCATTCTCCAATGAATTCTATTATCCGGACGAGTTGGAAGAGCCAGAGGAAGTAATAACAGCAAAAACCGACAAAAACACAACTCCTTGGTCTTATGTTTCTCTGTACAGACCTCGAGCTTGTTTAATAAACCCTTATTATTTAAGAAAAATAGGGAAAGAAAAAGGTTTGGACCTTTGTTTTTGTTCTTCAGTCAACTCGGTTCTTCATAGATCGCAAACACAAACTTATTAAAAGTGAAGTAAAGCCACATTTATACTAGTTCGTAAAGTGGCAAGGCAAGTTTATTTGTACAGAACGGTTCATAAGGAAAGTGTTGGAAAAAAGTAGATAACAACAATAAATGGCAATAAAATCATAAACAATCATATTACAGTAAAAAAACCTGTTTTTAAACCTAGATTTGAACATTGTCAGAGAAGAAGCCCGTCTCACATTTTCAGGAAGACTGTTTCAGATTTCAGCTTCATGAATGTGATATGCTGCCTCCCCATGTTTCGTCTTGACTCTGGGACCAGCAGGAGGCCAGTCCCTGTGCTCCTCAGAGTCCCAGCAGGAGGCCAGTCCCTGTGCTCCTCAGAGTCCCAGCAGGAGGCCGGTCCCTGTGCTCCTCAGAGTCCCAGCAGGAGGCCGGTCCCTGTGCTCCTCAGAGTCCCAGCAGGAGGCCGGTCCCTGTGCTCCTCAGAGTCCCAGCAGGAGGCCGGTCCCTGTGCTCCTCAGAGTCCCAGCAGGAGGCCGGTCCCTGTGCTCCTCAGAGTCCCAGCAGGAGGCCGGTCCCTGTGCTCCTCAGAGTCCCAGCAGGAGGCCGGTCCCTGTGCTCCTCAGAGTTCCAAACCAGCTGTTTCTGTAAGCTCGATGGTTCTCTTTGAAGTGAGTGTGTGGGAGAGTGGGCCGTGGTGCTCTCTCCTCCTGTGGGAGACTGGGCCGTGGTGCTCTCTCCTCCTGTGGGAGACTGGGCCGTGGTGCTCTGTCCTCCTGTGGTAGACTGGGCCGTGGTGCTCTCTCCTCCTGTGGAAGAGTGGGCCGGGGTGCTCTCTCCTCCTGTGGGAGACTGGGCCGTGGTGCTCTCTCCTCCTGTGGGAGACTGGGCCGTGGTGCTCTCTCCTCCTGTGGGAGACTGGGCCCTGGTGCTCTCTCCTCCTGTCGTAGACTGGGCCGTGGTGCTCTCTCCTCCTGTGGGAGAGTGGGCCGTGGTGCTCTCTCCTCCTGTGGGAGAGTGGGACGTGGTGCTCTCTCCTCCTGTGGGAGAGTGGGCCGTGGTGCTCTCTCCTCCTGTAGGAGAGTGGGACGTGGTGCTCTCTCCTCCTGTGGGAGAGTGGGCCGTGGTGCTCTCTCCTCCTGTGGGAGAGTGGGCCGTGGTGCTCTCTCCTCCTGTGGGAGACTGGGCCGTGGTGCTCTCTCCTCCTGTGGGAGACTGGGCCGTGGTGCTCTCTCCTCCTGTGGGAGACTGGGCCGTGGTGCTCTCTCCTCCTGTGGGAGACTGGGCCGTGGTGCTCTCTCCTCCTGTGGGAGAGTGGGCCGTGGTGCTCTCTCCTCCTGGGGGAGACTGGGCCGTGGTGCTCTCTCCTCCTGTGGGAGAGAGCGCATGGACCTCACATTTCTGCGATCAGTATTAAATACACATTGTGACGGGATTACAGGGATTCTTGGAGCTGTCCCTAATCTCAAATCCCCCACGGTTCAATGGAAGAGTGGCGTCCTCTCCTGCACAGCGAGGATTATGGGGGATGACGGGGCAGAGAGAGAGACGGTTCACAGACCCAGGCTGTGATGTCACGTTCCGTCGCTGCATAAATGTTCTTGAAGAATAAACATTGTCTTTGTGAGTCATAACGGCTCGTCTACAGCTCAAGGCCCCGCAGTCGTCTTTGTGTGGCCTCGAAATCATTTCCAAGTATTATTAAAGGTCCGTCTGCGATAAATAATATTATCAAATTCAATTCCAAAGAAAATCTGTAATTAAATTTTTTTAAAGAACTGTATTTCAATCTGAATCAAATCAACCTCCACAGGTCGTTCAGAGGGGGAGAAACTCACATGGGAAAAGCTCTGAGTAGAGCCACTGCTCCTTCACATCAAGAGTTCTGTTTTCTGTCCCGTGGGGAGGAGGCTCAGGCCCAGGGCCCTGAAGGACGGTGGCTGTGTTCACACACGTTTGTTTGTTTTATTTGGATGGCGCAGTGTGTGTTAATGAACAGCAGGTCGTCGCCGTGGGATCTTTTCCATCTGTTCCATTTCTAATAATGACACAGGCTTTTATACAGCGCTTTTTTGGACCCTTCACATGTCATTATTCATTTACGACAAACTCAGTGGTGACAAACTACTACTGTAGCCACAGCTGCCCCGGGGCACACCAGTCTGTTCCAACAGCCCCACTGTGGCACCTGGTGTTCAGAGGTCTCCCATCACAGCACACACTCCCTCAACCTGAACTACTGTACATGGTTTAGCGGTAGGGGAAACCGGAGCACCTGGAGGAACCGTCACAGACCTGTGGACTCTGCAAACTCTGCAGAGAAAGGCCATGTCTGGAAAATATTCCAAATCTCCCCAAACACCTTTAAGTGACTTTATTGTTAAGTTTTACGTTCACATATAAAGAATCGTTGGACGTGTGAAAGAGGAATCCTTCCAGTCAAGTGAAAAAGACCCTCAGAGGGTGATGCTGGCCCGGGACCTCCTCAGGATTCCCCCAGATGAGCTGGTGAGTGTGGGGAGGGAAGTTGGCATCTCGCCAACGGACACAATAAAGAATCCATTATTCATCCATAAAGAAAATGAACAAAATCTCCTTGTAAGACATTGTCAAGTGCATCAATGAGCAATGAAATGATAATAAGTAATAAAATAGTAAGTGATACAGCTTTAGGTCATTAAACATGTTCAGCCCCCCCCGCGTTCTGCTCAGGCTGTAGAAGGAACGGGGGTCCTCGTTCTACAGCCTGAGTCCTGGATCTACAGCCCGTCCGTCTGTAGAAGCGGACCCCTCCCCGAGTTTCTCACTTTCTCTCTTTGTTTTAGAGTCGTCCCTTTGGTGCAGGAGGGTCTGAGGATGATCCAGGACACTCCAGAGTCAACTTCATTTATGAACATTTATGTCTTTTTATTGTTTTTTTTTCTGAGTTTGAACTGAAAACATCGACAGTTTTGTAAAGTCTCCAGAGAAAACTACTGCAGTGATTTAGGTCGATACAAAATAGGTTGAATTGTTAAAAATCACAATAGTGCAATCTATTAATTTTATTTTCCATTAGCAGTAAATCCACATTGGAAAAAAACAACAAAAGTCCGCAGTACGTAAGTAATGTTTTTTATATAGCACGTTTTACAGACCAAGGATTCCCAAAGAGCTTTGCGATGTTCAGGAATCAGATATTTTTCCATTCACACACGGTGATGACTGACACGAGACTAGAACACACTGGACCATCAAAGCCTCCGACCAAACACCATCCATCCACTCTTTACATTCAGACCTATTGTGCGTGTTTTTAGTGGTAAGGGAAACAGGAGCACCCGGAGGAAACCTGCACAGATCTGTGGTCTCTGCAAACTCCACTCAGAAAGGACCTGTTCTGACCGGGATTCGAACCCAGGACCGTCTTGCTGAGAAACAATAGAGCTAACCACTCAGCCACCGCGTTGCAGTGTGCACCAGACAAGTACACACAAAAAACAAGGTCAAAACTACAGAAAAAACAAGAAAATCTAAACCATAAGTGCAAGAAACAATTGACCCAGTTTTAACACAAGCAAAGCTCATTAAAGTGATAACCTTTGTGGAAAAAACGATTGCTTCCTCCAGATGGACCACAGACCAGATGGACCACAGACCAGATGGACCAGAGACCAGATGGACCACAGACCAGATGGACCAAAGACCAGATGGACCACAGACCAGATGGACCACAGACCAGATGGACCAGAGACCAGATGGACCACAGACCAGATGGACCAAAGACCAGATGGACCACAGACCAGATGGACCAAAGACCAGATGGATCACAGACCAGATGGACCAAAGATCAGATGGATCACAGACCAGATGGATCACAGACCAGATGGACCAAAGACCAGTTGGACCAAAGACCAGATGCACCAAAGACCAGATGGACCACAGACCAGATGGACCAAAGACCAGATGGATCACAGACCAGATGGACCAAAGACCAGATGGATCACAGACCAGATGGACCAAAGACCAAATGGACCACAGACCAGATGGATCACAGACCAGATGGACCAAAGACCAGATGGACCACAGACCAGATGGACCACAGACCAGATGGACCAAAGACCAGATGGACCAAAGACCAGATGGATCAAAGACCAGATGGACCAAAGACCAAATGGACCACAGACCAGATGGACCACAGACCAGATGGACCACAGACCAGATGGACCAAAGACCAGATGGACCACAGACCAGATGGACCACAACCAGATGGACCAAAGACCAAATGGACCACAGACCAGATGGACCACAGACCAGATGGACCACAGACCAGATGGACCAAAGACCAGATGGACCACAGACCAGTTGGACCAAAGACCAGATGCACCAAAGACCAGATGGACCACAGACCAGATGGACCAAAGACCAGATGGATCACAGACCAGATGGACCAAAGACCAAATGGACCACAGACCAGATGGACCACAGACCAGATGGACCAAAGACCAGATGGACCAAAGACCAGATGGACCACAACCAGATGGACCAAAGACCAAATGGACCACAGACCAGATGGACCACAGACCAGATGGGCCTTGGAGTTGCTGATGGCGAACTCCATCCCATAATTCTTCTTACAGATTCATGCGTCTCGTATAGATGATTTATTATCCTCCCGTCGCACACTCTTCACAAACTCCACGCACCGCAGCCCCGTGATGTGGCGCTAACGTAACTATAGCAACAGTTGTAAAGTAGTGTATACTCGGAGCAGGTCTGCCGGGTTTGACCTTGGACTGAAAGAAAGAGACGTACTGATATTTATTGGTTTTTTTTCTATGTATTTATTTATTTAATATGGAGTTTATTTGAACAGTTACAGTTCATTGGACGGACCAGATGCACTGCCTCTTGTGTTACAGCAAGACCAGGAGAACTTTCAACTCTTGTCCACAGAAGACTTTTAGGACATAAATTCCCCTTTTTAAGATATAAAAATAACTAAATGTACAATTCATTAAACATGTGAAAAACGACACCAGAATGATTGACAATTAGGAGAACCAATTATTTAGACGAAGAAGGAAATCCTCCCATATACCTTCGAGCCAAACAAGGAAAGGTTAACTATACAATGAAGTATATTTGATTTAATTCAATATTTTTGGTGTAGCCTTAAAACACCTTAGCAGAGGGCGGGGTGCTGATTCATCACGGGGTCCCTCCTGCATTGTCAACAAAGGACCATCAAGACTCAAGAATTATATATCACAAACTACACTTTCCAATATATACATTTATAGTGACAAAAGTAAAATGACGATTGTAAAAGGGCAGAGACCTTTGTTGGGCTACGGAGTCCGGACGGGTCCACCAGCCGGTCCACCTCCTCCTGTAGCAGAGGATAAACTTCTTCATGGCTTGAGGAGCACACGAGGAGAACATTGGAGAAAGAACACAGCCCTGTGGAGCTCCTGTGTTCGTAATCCAAGTGTCTGAGACATTCTTCCCCAGACGCACTGTTTCCTGTCCGTCAGGAAGTCCGTGATCTACACATCACACTAATACATATCAATAACTATGTCAGGATGCACGTGTCGAGGTTATAGAGACATGACCTCAAAGCCTGGGTCTGAGTCTGCACATTTACCCCACTCAAAGTAAAGAGGGGAGAGTGGACAGCCCTGACCCTCGCCGGCCTCCAGCTCAGAATAGCTCCGTTGGCTTTTATCTCTGTGCTCTTGAAAGCATAGAGCGTTTGGAGCGTCAGAGGCTGTGATCACGCCAAGTCTGTAATCATCATTTGTGGATCATTCATGTGTGGATGTGTGAGAGCAGCGTAAACAAGCGTCAGAAGAGACATCCCTGAAGAGATGAAAGGACCGACGGCGGAGCTGCTGGAAGTATTCATGCTTTTATCGTTTCAATTCCAGTTCATTTCAGTTTTGTTTGTGTATATCCCTAAATCACGACAGTAGTTATCTTTGGGGATTGTGCAAAGCTGTTGATTCAGCAACAACAGATCAGAGAATCAAATGATAAAAACCACAGAGCCATTGGTCCGTAAATGTCAATATGCCCTGGATCATCACCGCTGTCCTTAGACCCTTAGAACTAAATAAACACAGAGCAAAACTAGTTCTTAAAGTAGCAATATATGATTTGCATGTAAAGTCATCATTAATCTGTCAAGAGGCATTAATGAAACATGCTCTTTTCCAATACTTCTTTAACTGATAACAATAGTTCAGAGGTATTTGAATTTCTAAATTACTTTTCCAGTCTCTAAATCTTGTTATTGTTTTCATTTCGATGTCCCGCCCTCCACCGCTTCACCAATCAGAAAGTCTGTGATCCTGGCGCCAGAACTCACCGTGTGGAGCTAATCTCACTGGTAAAGTACCATGTGGCGCAGAACTACAAAAGGTCTCGTTATGA